TTTGTTTGTCTTAGAGAAGGAGTTTCTTCTTTACTGAAATGATTCTCTTTTTTTCCTTCCTTTCTGTTTGGAAAGCTAGTGAGGTCCTCAGTTGGGAGGCAAAGAGCAGAGATGTTCCTCTGGCGGGCAGACGTCACATGCTATACTCTTCATCACACCTATTAGCTTGATGTAAACACTTGTAGCATTGCTTTACTCTCTGTGGCGCATCTTTAAATATGAGGCTTGCATTTCCACTGAAGGTCCTCAGGCCGAGTGGGAGGACACAGGGAGGGCAGCAGCGTGGGGGAGAGGCGGTCAGCACAGAAGGTAGAGGGCGAATATTTCATTGATCCTCTTACCTAGTTCCCGTACCTTTTCTGTGAGCTGGTTTTCTCAGAATGGTATGGAGAGTCATTTTTGGCAAGATTCCATTAAGTTGAAGAACATTTATAAGTTCTGTTTGGGGAGCTAGCATGTGAGCTGTAGCCACACCGAGGATTGCAGCATCAGTGGGACAAGAAATCCTTGATGCATTTCACAGTCACCTGTGGTGATGCTGTGTTACTGGCAAATGTGTGAAATAATTGTATTAAAATCAGAACTCCAAGCTATGCTGTCAATGTGTAGATGAGTTTAAATCTCAGTTAACTATTTTTGCATTACTGTGTTTCTGAGTTGATGCTCACAAATTATCTGAAGCACCAATTGGATTTCTGAGTGTGTCCCACCGCTTTCTTTCTTACCTGAAATACTTGGGATTTTCTCTTAAGTAAGATCTTTTGGTTGTTTTGAAAGGGGTGTTATTCAGTGTAGGAATTTGGGGAAACATGAAATCATAAAGGTGCTGTCCTGTGTGTGCAAGTGGGCATAGCCTCTTCTCTCTCTTTTTGAGTGGGATCCTGCAGATCCGCGGTCTCCTCAGTGGCAGGGCAAACCTGNGCATTTACTTGATTGTATGACTTTTTTTATATGAATGTTTAAACGAAGATCAGGCTTAAATCTTATTTAGTATATTTATCCTGATGGTTTGGTGTAATCCACATTTGTCTTTTTTTTTTTAGGGTTCAGAATAAGTTGGATGTGCTGAATTTCACAAGCTTCCCCGTCTATCTTCCAGAAATCACGGTTGGATCTCACCAGAGTGACCGAATCTTCAATAAATTCAGAGCGGTAAGACATGGAAGTGTGGAAATCTGACCAGCAGGGGGTTTGAAATAGCTGGGGACAGTTAAGTCACTTATCTAAAAAGTGGTCTTTGTTGTTGCTCTTTTTTGTTTGT